TGGAGAACAGGGGAATCCCTATATCTTTTTGGTGCAATTCGGTGTTGGAGAGGTCTGCCGACTTTCATTTGGTAGCTTTGGTTTTATAATCAAACCTGTTTCTGAGTCCCTAAATCCGGGGAGAAAAGGGAGAAAACGAGGAAGAAAGTGCGCCCATAAAAAACAATTCAAATCGTCCATTAATGCAATTGATGCCACACCACCCATTTAATATTTGAATAATTAGCGGTTAGGATCCTTGACGTTATCAAATTACCAGGGAAGATCAGAACTCACTTTACAAGTGACATTCAAGTTTATTTCCTACTTCTGGAATTCCAAGCCATGCAAGCACATTTTCTTCCTGCTCTAATTGCCTGCCATTTACTTCAGACAAGTAAAATTAATGAACAAAAAGGATTGAAAACAGATTGACAACTCTGCGATGCACAATAAAGATCATCAAGCATCAGCCCCAAGTTACATTCCTAATGTTGCCCAGCATTCAGTATCAGGAAAAAAGAAGTATTAATGGAAACTGCACTATGCAGTGAATGAGAGCAAAGAAGCATTGAAAAGGATGAACAGGAACTAACTCATTTCATGGCAATAACAGTTTGAAAACTACAAGTACAAGAAGCAAAGGCGAGGAGATCAAAAGTAACCAACCATTTTTCTTCCAAATTTCCTAAATCAATTTCCGGGCCAGATTCACTAGGCTGAAATATTCGACGATAAAGCTACAAAGCTACAAAAGAGAGAGAGTGGGGTTAAAAGCACAGCTAAGATTTCCAGTTGGAAAACTGATCACCTTGTCTGAACGAAAATGTACATGGTGCACATCAAAAGAATAAAAGATTCTAGACACCAAATGTTATTATAAACCTTAGCGACTTGGCTATGTTAAGTACACCATTACTTCTCGACAGTCTATCACCATAAAAGAAAAAACTTCTACACAGAGTAAGTATTTAAATATAACTCTAATAAATCTTAATATTTAATTTCCCGTCATAACCTTAATCATCTGACCATGGAATAGATTGTTGGTTGTAGTAATTAGTCCGCACGAGAAACTTTGAGGGTGATTCTCACTACATCGCTCTTTAATTGTTAAAAAGAAACGAAAGGAGATTAAATATATGATGAACAGTTGCATGGCCCATGCAAACTGAGAGTGTGACCATAAGCTATGTTGTGCGCGCATGTGGAGAAAGATATGGGAAGTTTTAACGCCTTTTTATTTAATTTTCCCACATTGTCACACAAAGAAATCCTATTTGTTAGTAGTAACTGTAGTATTTTTGACACCTCCATGGCTATCTCAGGAGCTCTCTTCCTCTATAAATAGCACCCTGGGGAGGGAAGAGGTCCATAAGCAAGTTGCTAACTAGGTGTCTTTCTTCCCCTGTTTTCCACTACTTAAATCAAGCTTTGCTTAGTATTACTTAGCGATCTTCCGTCCCTTTCTCACACTCATACATAGAGGCAGGCATCATTCGAAACTTGGTGTGCGCTCGTTATGGCCCAAAACAAACTACTTTCGATTCTGGTTCTCCTTTTGCTTGTTTTCTTCCAGGATACGCAGTGCATTGTAGGAAGGCATTTGATATTGGACCAAAAACACAAATTCCAGAAGGTCCAAACTCACGGTAGAATCCAGGCGAGGGAAATGGGGATTTTTCCTGATGGCAAAGTTAATATACAAAAATCAGGAAGCATTAGCTGGAGTAATGACAGGCATTCTACTGCAGGAGGTAAACAAGATTTCCAACTTACCAAACCAGGACAGAGCGCTGGAGTTGGTCATACTTTTCTAAGTTCGGAACCAAAGCCATAGACATGTAAATTAATGGCCCGGCCCGAGAGGTGCATTGAAATAGATATATTTCCTTAATCTCCTAAATTGTAATAATTGGCTCAGAAACATCTGTTACTGTTATGGATTACATTCATGGAGGACTTGCATGAGTCCTAGGTCTATGGACAGAGAGATTTGAATTTAGTTGTACAAAAATAATTGTCCCGAAAGCAACTGGTTTGATGCTTGTAACTAGTTATTTTATCCATGTGATCCTGTGTGTACTACTCTCTGCAACGTCTACTTCTTTCAATCATCTAATAGATTGTTTCTGATATTTGAAAACTGTTGAGCTTTTAAGAGAATGAATCAATGCATTATTGGAAACTCCAGTATGCAGTGAATGCGAGCAAAGTAGCATTGAAAAGGAAGAACAGGATCTAACTCATTTCATTGCAATAACAGTTTAAAAACTACCAAGCAAATGAAGCAAATGACACATTAAAACATTATCTTTCTTCTGCATTACACTAACCAAAAGCAGAAGGCAGATTTCTAGTCTATGCATGCTGCTGAGACACTGACATAACAACTTGCAACCTGATAGAACAATACAAAAACAGAATGACAAGAACAATAACATATTGAGGTAGCTATGTTCTTCACTGCAAATATCAGTATCAACAAAAACCAAAAAAAAAAAAAGGGAAAGAGAAAGGAACAATAACATGGCTTTAATACCTTTTCCCATGTATGTATATATGTGCATATATCCATGAGTACAGATAGATTAGCCAATCAAGCACTTTTCTTGATTATATACTAAGGAGAAAGGGAGACGATATATCCAGTAAGAGTGTGCCGAAAGTGACTTTGTGCAAACGAAGGCCAAAAGCGAACAAACTTCTTACTCTTCATTTCCATAAACTTAATATTAAATTTATGTTCCATATATATAAAAAAAAGACTCTAATTAAATTATCATGATAATTTAATAAAATACATATGAAAGAAGGTAAAAGTCACCTTAACATGTATATCTTAGTTCTTTACATTCAACTCGATGCGAATAAAGAGAGGAGAACTTTTGATTCAAAGTTATACATAAACTATCAATTAGGCCTTAACCAAAAATTAAAAAATTATAAAGCATGCGTTAGTAATTGATATAGAATTTGATATTTACGAGCAGGCGGCATGCATATAGAAAGATAGTTTGTACTTAATTAATGAATGCCCAATCACATACTTTGAAATAATCAAATGGTCATGATCCTCTTAGGGTCTACCGTCTATTCCATGAGCCTATAAACAACAACGATTGGAAGAGCAGAGAGCTTAATTGCTTTATTGTGCTCAGTTCTATCTAACTGCCGTTGCAAATTGAGCTATTTCTTCCTTACATTATGGATTTTAAAGCAGTATGGAAATGTGTTGCTGTTCTTGGTCTCATTGCCAGCCATGAAGTTCTGTCAAGTGATGGAACCAAATAAAAGCAATTAATACATCTGAGTATTTAATTTATTGGTTGGTGTATAATCTCTCTATTTAAAGAATAAGGTTCGAATCTCTCTTCTCTAATTATAAAAAAAAATCCATTCAGAAGGCTTTGTCTTTTTCTTTTCATTCCACTTGTCAATGTCCTTTGCCTTATTTTTTCTCTAACGATGGATTTCAAAAATTTATAAATAACACTTATTAAGAATAATTAAAAGGGTTTTTCCTAATAAGTTAGGGCTCTCATCAACAAAATTATAATTAAAATAATATTTTAAATTTTTATTTAATATATTATTTTTGTCAAATTAAAAAAATATATACATATTAATTATATTTTTTTCCATAAATATTATTTTAACTCGTATTAATAGACACCCATTAACATGTTCCAGAAAATTAACTACTAATAGGGTAATAGTCAACAAGAACTTTAGTTTCAATTCGTAGGGAAAACAAGAAGCATGTTATTCTGAACAGACCTTCCACCTAAAGACCCGAATAGATATTTTCAATTTAATCAAAATATAAATCCTGTCAACAGGAAGAAGGGAATATTATTTCTCTAAACATGTTCAAGACAAGAAGCAAACATTTATATTTTGATGTTGGGCCAGTATGACGAAGCAACGATTTTAAGCAGGCCACAAGCCCAATTTATTGTGGAATTAAGGAGAGGAGATCAAAAGTATCCAACAATTTTTTTTCCAATTTTCCTAAATGAAATTCCGGGCCAGATTCGCTAGGCTGAAATATTCAACGAGTAAGAAAAGCCGGCCGGCGAGGTTGTGGTTGTGACAAATACTATTGAAAGCTATAATGTAAAACCCAGATTATCTTCTGCCGACAGCAAGACACACATTGCATAAAGCAAAACCAACTTGCGTTGCAAGTGGGTTTTGGGCTTCTAAAAACCTAGAGAGTTTCACTTTTTAAAGCTACAAAGATACCTATAGAGAGAGAGACTGGGGTTACAAAGCACAGCTAGGATTTCCAGTTGGAAAGCTGATCATCTTGTCTGAACGAAAATGTGCGTGGTACACCAACAAAACAATAAAAGATTCTAGACACTAAATGTTTTTATAAACCTTAATGGTGCCTACTGGGGACTAAGCACACATTACTTCTCCACAGTCTATCACCCAAAAAGAAAAAACTTGCAGTCTAAGTATTTAAATACAACTCTAATAAATCTTAATATTTAATTTTCCCGTCATAACCTTAATCATCTCAGCATTGAATAGACTGTTGGTTGTAGTAATTAGTCCACACCAGAAACTGCAAGGGTGATTCGCACTAGATCACTCTTTAATTGTTAAGAAGAAACGAAAAGGAGATTAAATATATAATGAACAGTTGCATGGCCCATGCAAACTGAGAGTGCGACCATAAGCTATGTTGTGGGCGCATGTGAGAAAGATGTGGGAACTTTTTAACCCCTTTTTATTTAATTTCAGTACATTGTCACACAAAGAAATCCTATTTGTTAGTAGTAACTGTTGTATTTTTTGACACCTCCATGGCTAGCTCAGGAGCTCTCTTCCCCTATAAATAGCACCCTGCGGAGGAAGAGGTCCATATGCAAATTGCTATCTAGGTGTCTTTCTTCCCTGTTTTTCATACTTAAGTCAAGCTTTGCGTAGTATTGCTTAGCTACATTCCCTTCCTTTCTCACACTCTTATATACAGGTAGGCATCATCCGAAACTTGGAGAGCGATCGTTATGGCCCAAAACAAACTACTCTCCATTCTTGTTCTCCTTTTGCTTGTTTTCTTCCAGGAAATGCAGTGCATTGCAGGAAGGCCTTTGATATTGGACCAAAAACCCAAATTCCAGAAGGTCCAAACTCACGGTAGAGTCCTAGCGAAGGAAACAGAGGCTATTCTTGATGGCAAGGTTAACTTGCATGGTGTTAACATTAACGCAGCTGACGCCAGCACGCAGTCTCCACCTTCACCACCAAATGTGGTTGTAGGAGCATCCCAGGCCCCGCCTCCAAAACCCGTAGACGACTTCAGGCCCACAGCTCCTGGACACAGTCCTGGTGTCGGCCATTCCATTCAAAACTAGGGCAAAAGCTTCTTACAATGTGCTGCATGGTACTATATTGTCGGAAAGGCTTCAGCTGTGGTTTCTCTAATATTTGTCTCGATTTCAATTTCAGTTTGAGGTTCCTTAGGTTTAAGTATGGTTTGGCGTGGGGCAAATAATCATTTGTGTGATGTAGATAAATTAAGCAGGAATCTTGAAAAGAAAGGACTGGGATTATGGAACGAGAGAGACTACCTCTCACTGTTGTGTAGTCCAAGACCAAAAAAAAAAATTGCTGTTTTAATTGTTATGTCCCTATTTAGTGTTTGTAATAATAATTATTGGTCAATGCAATGAACCAATGAAATTCATTGGTTTTTATAGCTAGTCCTTTGCGTACTGTGGCTTTATTAGCATCTTATTACTCAAATTTTAAAATATATATAACTTGTTTCATTAGTATTTACCTTTATAAAAAAAATAACTTGTTTCATTAGTATTCCGTTGCTCCTAAAATTGGCTTCTCAGGGCAAATAAGTGGTTTAAAAAAAAATTACACAATCAGTTAAATTGGAGGTATTTTGGAAATATAAATATAATAAGAAACCTTTTACCTATAATCAATTGATTTTAAATTAAATATTCATTTTTAAAAATATAATATGTAAACTACCATAGTAGGTATTTGTATGTAAGTTGACACATGATAGATCCATTATTATTACATATGACAGAGAGTATTGAATGGTATTTTGAAATTTTAAATATAATAAAGAGCTCTTTATTTATTGTCAAATAATTTTATGTTGAATATCTATCTAAAATTTAATAAAATTTGAAATTCAAAAGATTGAAGAACAAGTGATATCACCTTTCATTTATGTTATATCTGATAAATATTTTGTAGTTCATCCAAGTTTGTATTATAAAGGGGGAAATAACACAGATGAAGTACATGTATTTTTCCATTTAACTGATGGATCACTGTCAAATTCCATGAATCAGATGCAGCTTAATGACACAGAGACTAGACATCTTGATCCAATCCGTAACTATTAATGCTGCGATTAATATATATATACTTTCAATAAAATAATAATAAGACCCGGTCAGCTATATATCTCGAACAAATATTCGACAGAAGTGTGATCATTAGTCAACAGAAGATCCATTTCTCGAGCATGAATGCAGCGCAGTACTCCTTAGAAAAAAGAAGAAGAAAGAGGAAGAAGAAATGTCGTAATTAATAAAATTACGCCACTTGGGTATAAAATTCTACATGATCACGAGAGTCCTCACTTGTTGATGGCTCAATTTGGATGAATGTGGACATGTTTATGGATGGGCGAATCTGGACATTCTGGTAAAGATCCAAAGGCACTCCCTCAAGACAAGTTTGAACCGTAGTTACTTCTTATCCTTAATTTATTCCACTTAAAATGTCTAACTCTTCTAAGTTCATGCATTTTGGGGTTTCACGTTTACTGTAAGTCGTGTAATTTAAGAAAAATATGAACATTTTGATTTGACATGATCGATGAGAAAGGAAGTCAAAAGAATAGAGGATGGTAACTCTGTAGTAAACAGAGCATACCCTATGTATATGTACTGCAACACTCTGTACAATGAACCTGGACATAGTTAAAGAATTGAAGTGCCTGGAAGAGCTAGGGATCAAAAGATATCCATGGGAGATTCCTTTTACTCGAACACAATTCAAATGCACGTTGTTACAGTTTATGTTATAACCTTTTAACTTTTAACGACTGCAGTTGCAATACAGCCTAGCACGTTAATTAGAGAATCAAAATGTCTTTGCTCCCCAGTTGTGACTTTATGAGGGTAAAAAAGTTACTACCAGTCTCAAATTTTCTGTATATAAAAACACTGTTAAACGTTGACTGCCAGAGGCTGGGGACTTCCTCAGATGCAGGAACCAACCAACAAAAAGCCCTTTTCGCAAGATTCTTAAATTCATAATGGAGGGGGAGAAGAGGGTTGAGGGACTGCGAATTGGAGCCTTGCTTCATTTGACCTTGATCGATCCAGACAAAAAAAAAATGGTTTCTTTAGTGATAATTGTAAGTGGAGGGGACCTCTCTTTGGTTGGTGCTCTTGACTTTTTGATTAATTATGAGCATGCTGATACTTAACCTAAAAAACAAATTATAAGCATGCTAACAGGTAAGAGCAAGACAAACAATCGATCACACCAAATACCAAGAGTATCTGTTTCTTACAAAAGCATCAACTATAGACAAACAATCGATCACACCAAATACCAAGAGTATCTGTTTCTTACAAAAGCATCAACTATGCATATAGATATTTACTAATGGAGTATGATCACTATATGTAATGACGAGTTTGAACATTCTGTTTTTCTGCAAATTAAACCACAATGAATTCAAATTTTCGTATTCTGGTTGCAGCTTCAAGTTGTTGTGATATTTTAATCTCTGGGATAGGTTGAGGAAGATCCTCAGTTGATTGTTTTGCAGAAACTAAGTTTCATGTCCAAGAGTAATTATGTTGCCAAATAGTTATTGAGAGTGGATTATTTGAATAATCAATTCCAGAGAGCTCCAGCCACTGTAAAAGTTGAGTGGAGTATTCCCTAGTATAATTAAACTATACAAAAAACTGTCTCACTCAAGGGTTGTCTTTAGTACTGTATGATTTTGTTTAAGGTACCTAGCAGAACAGCCTTGCTTTTCCGATAGTGGACGGATCTCGATTGTTGATGTGACATGCCTTGATTTTTTTTGATGGCATGACATGTCCTTGAATTTGATAAAGAATGAGCTCCCACCCCCCTGGAGAGAGAGAGAGAGTCAAAGCTATAGTTCAAATTCCATGAAAGCATTGAACGGTCAAATTTTTTGCATTTAGAAACCTCAAAAAGCAAGATTCATATCAATATCAACTTATGACACTGATTTTTGGTCAAATTCCGGCTGTTGTATGAACCATCCATTATGATCCCCGTGACACTTATTTCCATTAGTGGAAGCCAATTAGAACCCAGTTTTCTTAATTAAAACATTTACTATGACTATAGTGCTTTCACTACTGTTGCATTAATTATTGTTTAGGCTGGCCTTAGTATAGTTAAGGTTCTTAGGTTCTGAAACTACATATTCTGTTGGTGCTAATGTGCAATTTAAAATTTACTGCTAAACCAGATGCCCGTTTTTATTCTTCAAATGCAATTTCTGAGTATATAAGAGATGCTAATCAGCACTTTTAGATTGCTGGTGTTGTTACCAGGGGAGTAAACCTACTGCCTTTGGTTTATACTAATTGATACTTTTGAGTTTTGACTATATTCTTAACTTGAGGAATATTGGTTGGAAAGCGAAAGTTTAGGTATAAAAAAATGGTAAAGTTGGAGAGATATATTTTTTTTGAAAAGTAAAGTTGGAGAGATAATGCTGTCCTCTCATTCCAATTAATTTATTTTTCCGAAGTTGCTGAAGTCTTATGATTTCATCTTGCAAATAGTAACACCAGCAAAGCAAAATATTGAGAAATTCGATTTGAACACCTAGTGGCACAAGTAGGAGAGGATATTTGGTTCAACCAGTCATATGATGAGATCTTGCTCTTTCTAATAAAAATCAAAATATTGAAGCTGTCACTCATATTTTGATGACTCATATTTTGATGCCCAATCAATAAGCTTATAAATGCACCCCAGAATTAACTGGAAAATCTCTGCAGGGGATTCAAGAAATTAACTTCATATTCAAAGAGAGGTCTTCTTATTATTTATGGTTTCCACCACCAGGGAACCTTCAACATTCAGCAGCCAAGCAATCATTCCACCCATTAAATTGAAAGTCTGCAATAACTACCATAAACAATGGAGGTTCAACAAAAGAGCTAGGACAGATGTGTTTCACTTGAATTTGTCGACCAAAAGAGTTCTAAGCTTGCACAACAGCCATCAGTATATAATACTATTTATGCATTTTGCAAAGTGGCAAGTACTGGGGGGAATCCCTACCTTTTGGCGGTGCATTTCGGTGGTGGGGAAGGCCATTTCCCAAATATTGCTATTCCTAGGGAATAGGGTTTACAGACCAACACGGTTAGCTTCTGATGTATGTCTGTCACTAGAAATTTTGATTAAATAGATTGCCGTCCTTACACAATTCAAACGATAAGATAACATTTCAGCACTATGAAAGGTCAAGGATGGAGCTTCAAGCTTCATCAGATAGCATTGTTCTTGAAAAAATAAAAGGAAAGAAGTGTTGAGGAAGTCATACTTCACTCTTACGAAATTTTTATATAATAAGAGCAGAACAAGTGGGGCACAGAGAAGAAGACCACAGTTATGCAAAAATATGGAAGATATAGTCTTCAAGGAGAGGCAAATAATGCATTTGGTGGGACATAGAAGAATACTTGTGAGAGATATGCAATGGAGGATGATCTTCAAGAGAGGCAACACATTTCCACATTATTGTTTAAAAAAATGTTCTTGAGAAAAAGAGGATCTTTTAAAGTTAATTTCTAGAATTCAAACCGTCCATTATTGCAATGGATGCCACACCACCCACTTAGGTGATGAATAATTAGCGGTTAGGATCCTAAAAGGGCCCTAATTCCTGACATTATAAATTCCAGGGAGATCAGAGCTCACTTCATTGTGCTTAGTTCTACCATCTGCCCTCTCATCTCTTGATCCTATCTCTGGCAGTTTGATCAAATTTCCTTGAGCTAGACGTTCAAGTTTATTTGCTACTTATGGAATTCCGAGCCATGCATAAATGTGCTGTTTTTCTTCTTGCACTAATTGCCTGCCATTTAGTTCTCTCGGTCGAGGGAAGACAGCTAAAATTAGTGAACAAAAAGGAGTTAAAGCAAAGCAGCCAGACTGACAACTCTGCCATGCACAATGAAGATCATCAACCAGCAGCCCCAAGTTACATTCCTAATGTTTCCCACCATTCAGTATCAGGAAAGAAGGAAGTATTGCCACCCGCTATACCAACTAAGAGCTCAGATTTTGGTGATTCACTTGCTGGGTA